ATCTTTCCCTCTAGTATATTTTCTGATTGCTGCACATATAGGAAAGTTGTTGATTTCTATAGATTAATTTTATACACTGACACCTTACTGAATTTTCTTATTATTGGTATTGGTTTTGAAATTGTTTCTCATGAAACTTCCAGGTAAATACTCTTATCATTTATACATAATAATAACATAGCCCTTCTTCCAATGTTTACTTATTTATTATTTTATATTGCATATCTAGTACTTTCAGAACAATATAAATACTTGTGGGAAAAGTGGGAACTTTGGCCTTGTTCCCCATTTTAATGGGAATGCGTCTAGTAGTTTGCCATTAAGCACAATGTTGAATTTTGTCTTTAAAAAATGTATAAAGAGGGGCTGGGGTTGTAGCTCAGTGATAGAGTGCTTGCCTCGCCCATGTGAAGCACTGGGTTCGATCCTCAGTACTATATAAAAATAAATAAATAAAATCAAGGTAATGTGTCCAATTGCAACTAAAAAATATTTACAAAAAATGTGTAATGATAATGATGGTGTCAAGGAAATAGCCTTATTTCCCTATTAGGTTTTTTTCCTCAATCTGGAAGGGTATTGAATTGTCCTGAAATATATTTTTAGATTAGGGAGATTGTCTTATGTCTTTTATCCTTTGATTTATCAATGTTGTCATTTATATGAATAGGTTTTCTAATACAGAAGCAGTCTTTTATTTCTAGGATGAGCCTTACATTTTATGATGCATTATATTCTTAACATCCTACTGCAATCTCTACTGTATTTTAAGAATTTTACATCAATGTTCTCAGATGAGATTGGTCTCTAGTTTTCCTTTATATATTTTGTAGTTGTTGGGTTTGGCTATGTTAAACCAGGAATATTATGCAGGAACCTGTCTCCTCTGTTCTCAAGATTCCAGGGTCTAGAAAGTGTATAATATAATTTTGATATTGTGTATGTTCCTGGGAGATTGGTAGAGTTAATGCAAGACTATGTGATTGTGCTATTTGGGGGGGGGGTCAAATTTATCAATATTTTCTACAATAATTGATGGGTTTAGATATTCTTTTCTTCTATCAGTATTGGTAATTTTTGTTTGTCTAGAAACTCTGTCAAAGTTTTTATAAAGTATTCACTTACTCTTTTCATTTACTCTATAATTGTGGTAATTTCTCCATTTCACATTTTGGGTGTTTGGGTTTCTTAAAATTAGATTAACAATTTTTTTCCTGTTTTATATTTTCTTTTGAAGAACTGGCTTTGGGCTTTCATTATTAGTTCATGTGTTTTGCTGTGTATTATTTCTGCCATTAGTTTTATTATCTTTCTGCTTGATTTAGCTTTATTTTTGAGATTTCCCTAACTACTTTTGTTGAATGCTTAATTCATTTATTTTAATTTGTTATTATATATTAATGTAAGTATTGAAGGCTATAGATTTTCCTTGGACTACCGTTTAGTTCACCATATCCTTCAGCTTTAGATATTTTTGTTAATGTTACTTTATAAGCATTGTGCAATTTCATATAACATTTCCTCTTTGATTGAAGTAGAAGGGGGTTTTTCCTTGTTTAATTTCTGGAGATTTTTTTTTTTTTTTTTACTTTCATATGTGTCTTTGTTTTTAGCATATGAAGAAATTTAGATTTTTCCATTATCTTGATTTTTGACTGTTGTGGTCTGTTTTAAATTGAACCATCTTACATTTTGTTTCTGCTTTTTAATATTTTAGCATTTTCTATGGATTTTACTTTATGATTTTTTTGTCTGTGAGGTGCTGGGGATGGAACCCAGAACCTTGCACATGTTAGGCAAGTGCTTTACCACTGAGCTACACCCCAGCCCTGCTTTATGAATTTCTTCTCTCTTTAAAAAGAAAAATAATCTTTTTTTAAAAGATTCAGAATATTGCCATGCACAGAGGTGCACACCTATAATCCCAGCAACTTGGGAGGCAGGAGGATCGCAAGTTCAAGGTCATCCTTGGCAACTTAATGAGACCCTGTATCAAAATTAAAAACGAAAAAAGGGCTGGGATGTAACTCAGTGGTAGAGCACCCCTGCATCACTCAATTCTCAGTACTGCAATAATGGAAAAGAAAGAAGGAAAAGAAAAAAAAAGAAAATGAAAAGAAGACTCAGGGTACTTAGATCTTCATCATATATTACATATGTTATAGTCATTAACATTATAGTGTCCTTATTTGTCTTATTCATTTCTTTTTGCCTTTAATTCAACTTTTTATGATATGAATATCATGACTTGCATTTTAAAGTTTTGGAATTAATTAATTTATTAAACAAATGTTTATTGAACACCTACTATGTGCCAGGCACTAGAGACCAGATGAATGAGACAGACAAGATCTCTGACCTCATGGGGCTTATATTTCAGTTTGAGAGTGAAATACCAAAATAAACAAGTAAAAATAAGTATGTAATATAATATCAGTAGGCTGTGATAAATGCTCTGAGAAAGAACAAAGTAGAATAAGGATGATTAAGGATTAGTCATCTCTATTTTAGATCAGCTAATCAAGAAAGGCCTCTCTGCTTGATATTCATTTGTCATCATTTACTTTCTACTCACTACTTTTGGTTTTTATTTTTCTGGGAGATATGCCCAAATGAGAACAGTAGGGATGTCTGGATATGAATTTCTGATGCAAGTGAACAAACACCTAGCCAGGATGGGGGCTGGAGATAAGGGGAATGAAGGCCATTTTACTTTCTATTCTGTCTGAGCTTGGCTACCATTATGTATATTATCTTTTAATTTTGTATTATTATTATTATTATTTTGATACCAGGGATTGAGCTCAGGGGCACTTAACCACTGAGCCACATCCCCAGCCCTTATTTATTATTTATTTATTTTTTATTTTGGGACAGGGTCTTGCTAAGTTGCTTAGGGCCTCGCTAAGTTGCTGAGGCTGGCCTCAAACTTGCAATTCTCCTGCCTCAGCCTCCCAAGCCACTGGGATTACAGATGTGTGCCACTGCATGTGGCTGTATTATTATTTTTAAAAAGAAATATTCCTAGTCTTCATTATGATCACTGAATGGATATTCTGTCTGATGACAGAATTTCCTGTCACTGGGCAGGACTTAGAATGATGGCTGTTTTCTCATAGGCTGAAGCAGGAAACCAGATCTGTATTTTAGAGGGCTTAACTTTTTATACCCTAAAGTCAAAAAGATGTCTTTTTAACTTTGGTCACTCTTTATTTTAAAGAAGTTTGGCATTTGACACTGACTCAAATAAACCTGGACTTTTTTCCTTAGAGATTTTCTTCTATCACTTATGAGAATTTTATTTCACCTCACAAGGGATAGTCTTTAATTTTCTGATAGTTTTTCCTTATAAGTATATTATACATATATGCATATAATATTTATACATGTATATACATACATCAGATATGTAGTACATTAAATTTTTATAAACCCATACATCCTTAACTCTTGAGCTTGAATTTATTTTGGTGTCTAATAAGTGGTCTAGCTCCAAATAGCACCATTCTGCAGTTTTCTCAAAGACATTTATTAAATAGTCTTTCTTTATCTCCTTGTTTTGGAAGATTACACATATATGATGATTTGATAGATGGTCTTGTTGTTTCTGGTCTTTCTATACTGTTCTGTTTGTCAAGAACACACTTTCAATCATTGTTGTCTTGTAAAATGCTTGATAACTTACTTATCCCCTTTCCCATTTCTTCTATAGCAGAACATTCTTTAACATCCTTTCCTTTTTTGTAAGTTTATATTTTTTTTAAAAAAAATAGACGGGCATGATGGTGTGCACCTGAAATTCCAGCAACTTGGGTGCCTGAGGCAGGAAGATCACAAGTTCAAATCTAGCCTCAGCAACTTAGCGAGGCCCTAAGCAACTTATGGAGACTCTGTCTCTAAATAAAACATAACAAAAGGGCTGGGGATGTAGCTCAGTGGTAAAATGCACCTGGGTTCAATCCCCAATGGTTAAAAAAAAAAAAAAACTGAAGTAAAAAAAAATAGAAGTTTAGAATTTTCTATATTTGAAAATTCTGATTGGGACTTCAGTAGGATATATTATAAAACTCATTGAGTTCAGAGATGATTAACCACTGAGCCACAAACGTATGAATGAACAGAAATGTATGAATGGCCTGCTTGTGTTTTTTGTTACATATATAAGAACATGGAAAGTATGCACATCCCATTCATGATATAGGTTGCATCTGGAGGGGCAGGGGACTGGACACAAAGCATGTTATTTCTATTTGTCGAGAAAAATGTACAATGCATGCATAAAAATGCTAATTCTGGGTGGTACTTGGAAATGTGGTTATTTATTATAGCAATCTCTGTACATTTCTAAATATTTGAAATCTTCATAATGTAAAATCAACAAAAACAACAGATAAAACAGGATAAATAGACTTGTAAGTCCCAGAACACAGTCTATCCAATCTAAGTGGTATAAACAAACTGAGGTAGTATGTGTGTATCTCGACTTTGAAGTTAGACAGTTTAAGTTCAGATTCTAGCTCTGCCACTTATTAACTTTATGACCCTAGGAAAGTGACTTGACCTGTCCATGTCTCAGTTTCCCCATCTGTAAAATCATGATACTAATAGCTACCACCTAGGCTGATCATGAGGGTTAATTAAATTAAGATAAGGAACACACTTAAAATATTACCTGATACTTAGTATATGCACAATGAATGTTAGAAGTTGTTATTAGTAGTATGATTATTATATTTCTTACACATATTGCAGTGTTTTGTGGCCATTTAAAATTTAATGTAAATAGGGGATGGGGTTGTGGCTCAGTGGTAGAGCACTTGCCTTGCATGTGTGAGGCCCTGGGTTGGATCCTCAGCCCCACATATAAATAAATAAAAATAAAGGTCCATTGACAACTAAAAGAATATATTTTTTTTAAATTTACATAAGTAATGGCGTCCAAACTGTGGACCTGTCCACCACATGCTTATGTTACTTAACCTTCATCTGCTGTTTTGCAGGGAAATGGCTCATTCCAAGACTAGCTTCCCATGGGCAACCCCCTTCCATCCTTGCCTCGAGAACTCATCACTGGATTTATCAAGTCATCGAGCAGTTTCTTCTCTTGATCTCCTCGGAGACTTCAAACAGGCCTTGAAAAAAACGGAGGAAACTTCCCTTTATGAGGAGGGGAGCTCCCTTGCCGCCATGCCCCGCCCACTGCGCAGCCGGGCCTTCTCAGAGAGTCACATCAGCTTGGATCCCCAGAGTACCCGGGCCTGGGGACAGCCTCGCAGGGAGCTCTTTAGCAAAGGGGATGAGACTCAGCCAGATCCTCTGGGAGCCAGGAAGAAGGCCTTTCCTCCTCCTCGCCCTCCTCCTCCAAACTGGGAGAAATACAGGCTCTTTCGGGCAGCCCAGCAGCAGCAGCAGCAGCTGCAGCAGCAGCAGCAGCAGCAGCAGCAGCAGCAGCAGCAGCAACAACAACAGCAGCAGCAGCAGCAGGAGGAGGAGGAAGAGGAGGAGGAAGAGGAAGAAGAAGAGGAAGAGGGAGAAGAAGAGGAGGAAGAGTTGCCACCCCAGTATTTCAGCTCAGAAACCACTGGTTCCTGTGCTCCCAATCCTGAGGAGGTCCTAGAACAACCACAACCCCTTGGTCACTGGGAGGCTTCAAGGCAGGGTTCACAAAGCCTCCCAGATCAAGAGTCCTTTGCTCTCCATTCCAGTAATTTCCTGCCTCCAATAAGAGGCCACCCGGGTTCTCAACCTGAGCAGGCTCAGCCCCTTTGCTATTATGGTGTTGGTGGACTTTGGAGGACATCAGAGCAGGAGGCCACTGATTCCCCCAAGTAAGTGTTTGTGAAAGGTATTGAGTCCCTGAAGAAGTAGGCAGCATTAGTTTGAATTCTGTCTCTGCCATTTTCCAACTGGGCAGGTCAATGAAACTACTACTAGCCTCAGTTTTCTTACCTGGAAAATGGGTGTAATGATGCCTGCTCCTTATGGTTGTTGTGAATGTTAAGATAATTTATGTGAAGGACACAGATACATGCTTAGCACTGAGTAGATGCTCAGTAAAAGAGAGTTGTTGATATTCTTATCCCTAACATCATTATTAAAATACTGTTTTATTTCTCAGTTTTTCTTCAAAATATACATCAGTATCTGGCCCCTGATCCTGAAGCCATGAAACCCTTCTTGCCTTTACTAGGCCTTTCTCAGACATCTGGTTCAAGGTTTTTTTTTTTTTTTCTTTTCTGTTTTTGTTGTTGTTGTTGTTGTTGTTTCACTTGCTCTCCAGAACAAGAGGCTAGCTTCTGGCAACCTGACCTGCCTCTACTTTAGGATAAATAGCCTGCACCTATAAATTCTCCTCCCAACCCTATCATCAAAGGTATTCCTGGGGCTGGGTACTTGTCCCCAGCCCCTTATGTCAGCTAAGTACATTGTCCTTATGACAGCTAAGTGCATTCTTGTGTCCTATTTCTCCCCTTTCTGTTTCCCTGCCTCCTCATATTTGCTTTGGTGGACAACAGGTGGTAATTAGGTTGACTAGGCAGGGAGGTCAAGTAGGAATGTGGTCTGAGAGCAGGACTTCCAGTGTCTGCTAACTCCACTGTGACATTGCTTGTTTGCATACCTCACAGTGCCTGGTTATCTTTTAAGCAGCAAAGCAAAACCCCAGGACCACCATTGCTCAGTGCTTTGGCTCTCATGTCTTCCTGCCCTCCTGAGGGGAGACATGTGCACTCTTGTGAGAGGTGGGTGCCAGGAGGTAGATATATTATGAGTGCTTTCCTTAAATCCTTTATAGCAGGAACTTGCCAGGGACATGTTGTTATTGGAAGTACCTTGTTATTGTGTCTTTGATTGACAGACAAATCTTGTTACTTGGTGTTTTAGTCAGCTTTTTCACTGCTGTGACCAAAGGACCTGACAAGAACAATTTTTTTGTTAAATAATTTTTAGTTGTCAGTGGACCTTTATTTTATTTATTTTTATGAGGTGCTGAGAATTGAACCCAGTGCCTCACACGTGCCAGGCAAGCACTCTACTACTGAGCTACAACTGCAGACCCTGACAAGAACAATTTTAAGGAGGAAAAGTTTATTTGGGGGTTCATGGTTTCAGAGATCTTAGCCCATAGATAACTGACTCCATTCTTCAGGGCCCAAAGTGAGGTAGAACATTATGGCGGGAGGGTATCGTAAAGTAAAGCAGGTCTGGACATGGGCACCAAGAAGCAGAAAGAAAATAAGCTCAGCTCACCAGATACACACCCCAAAGGCACGCCCTCAATGACACACGCCCTCCAGCCACACCCTCCCTGCTTTCAGTTACCCTCAGTTAATCCCTATCAAGTGATGAATTCACTGATTGGGTTAAGGTTCTCATAATCCAATCATTTCACCTCTAGGCCTTCTTTCATTGACTCACACATAAGCCTTTGGGGGACACCTCATATCTAAAGCATAACACTTGGTTATCTGGAGGTTTTGGAGCAATTTTCCAGTCCAAGGTGCCACACACAGAGCATGTACAGGGCCTGGCTCCCAGGCACTGGGAATCCCTTATCAGGTCCCAATATGGCTGTTTCTCAAACTGTCTAGTTGGGCAGCATACTTACTGCAGCTAGAAAACACTTTGCAGAAAGTTACTGTAATGGTTACTCATCAGAGCTGGGAGAAGGGAAAGTAGCTCAGCACATAATAGGTGCTGGTTAAGCATTTCAGAAGAAATGAGTAAATGAATGACTAAATGAATGATTGAACATTTATTAAGCATTTGCTATGTGCTAGACACTGCTAGGCATTTTCTGTCCATTATTTCATTTAATCCACCCTATAGCCCTATTGGCCATTATTATCCCAATTTGACAAATAGGAAAACAAAAGCTTAACAAATGAGGGACTAACTAATTTGGTGTTATACAGCAAAGATTCAAAGTTAGATCTATGTGATTCTAAAACCCGTGAGTATTTTATCTTCTTCAACAACCTCTCTAGGGAGGACTTATTGTTCCAGTCATCTAGGTCTTCAGGAGACCCTCTTCCCTCCTGTAGAGCAGTACTTGTGGGACCTCCATCATCCTCTTTTATGTATTTTCATTCACCTTGGCACTTTGGACCCAGAGATGTTACTACAGATCTTATAAACTGGTCCAGAGATTCTGGGGGTGGGGTGTTCTAGGGATTGAACTCAGGGGCATTCAACCACTAAGCCCCATCCCCAGCCCCATTTGTATTTTGTTTAGAGACAGGGTCTCACTGAGTTGCTTAGGGCCTCACTAAGTTGCTGAGGCTGGCTTTGAACTCGTGATCATCCTGCCTCAGCCTCCCGAGCCGCTGGGATTGCAGGCATGTAAGGTGTGTGCCACTGCGCCTGGCTGGAGACTTTTCTTTACTGACTGTGGGATACAAGGGAAAAAAAAAAAAATATATATATATATATATACACACACACACACACACACACACATATTTGCTTATAGTCCTAGCTTTGGCTGCAAAAAATAAATTCTTGATGATTCTCTGAGTAATGGAAATTTAAGGAAGAGCGTCATTCCCAACATAGCTAACATTTTTTGCCTGTTTACTATGTGCCCAGCAGTATCCTAAGCACTTTCATGGACAGATAGTCCCTGACTTAGGATGATTTGACTTAGGATAATTTGGCTTTATGATGGTGCAAATAAAAATATGCATTCAACAGAAACTGTATTTCCTATTTTGCATTTTGATTTTCTTTTCCCGGGCAAGATGCAGTATAATACTGTTCCAATGCTGGGCAGCAGCAGCGTCTGCAGTTCCCAGTCAGCCACGTGATTACATGGGGAACAAACAAGACTATGCTGTACTGCATGGATAGGCTCTGATGTTCCGTAGATTAGGTGTATTCAAGACACTTTCAACTTATGATATTTTCAATGTACCATGACTTTATCAAGATGTAACCTCACTATATTGATTGATTTGATCTCCAGAATGATCCTAGGGAATAGTGACAGTGAGTCTTCTCCATTTATTAGACAAGAAAAGTGAGGCCCAGGGAAATGATAGAACTTCATGACAAGATCACAGGTAACCAGACTCCCTGGGTTCTTCATCCCAGGATCTCTGGGCTCTTGAAGGACATTCTGTTCCAGACTCTAGGATGGCAGAGAGTGCTAACCAGAAGGAATCAGCTTTACAATTTTGTAAGGAAGCATAGTATTAGAGGCAAGTTGATGTAGACTATTTTATTCTAAATGCAAACAAACACATGTACATTTCAGCCAAGCTAAGCCACTATGTCTCTGTAACCCATGTACCATTCAACTAAAAATATCAGTGACACACGTAGAAGCAAATTAGCAGAATTATCAAATGTTGGTAACGTCTAATGGCTCTGAGTCAAGGGTAGGTATATCTTGCTTTAGGGACTCTCTGCACTTCCTTCCAGGGCTCTGTGGAAGGACTCTGATTTTTGCTTTGATGTTCACTTTCCAATTCTGAATATGTTCTCACACATCTCCTGTAACTCCTTCCCTATTCGTGGAGATGCTGAGGAGCGCTGCCCTAGAGCACAGTGTGAAACACGATCTACTCTAATATGATGCAGCGCTGTGTCTGCTGAGGGACTGTGTCCCCAATTAGCGCATCCTTTCTTTTCTTTTATAATTTCTGACTCAGAATTTTCACACATGCCCTAATATTTTTTTCACAGATAGGACTTCCCTAAGTTCATATTTTCATTATTCCTCCCAGAATGTTCTCTTTTCTCTGTTAACAAATGTAAACTCCAATTAGAAAATTCCTTACATATACAGTTTTATAAGTTGTCCCTTTGCCTGTATAGTATAATGGCTAAAAGCACAAATTTTAGATTCAAGTTGCCCGGGCAAACCCAGTTCTGGTGTTTACTGGCTGGTGACCTTGAGAAAAATTATTTTACCTCTTGGTGCCTCATGTTTCTCATCTCTGAAATGGTTATGATGAGCATTCAGTTATATATCTATATGTGCAAATGTGTGTGTGCAAGTGTGTACGCATACACACATGTGTACATATGTGTGGTATCTATCTTAGGACCGTTCCTGGCACATGGTAAACACTGTGTGACTATTAGCTAGCATTATTCTTATATCAGTGTTATAAGCTTGAAGCCATACATGTAAAATGAATTTCCTAGGATGAGGAATATTGGCATGCCAAAGTTTCTTTTGTGCAATAAATTAGGAGACAGCATAGCATGAATCAGTAAATAGCTGTGGAGCCTTTTAGCCATTATTTTTGACCTTTATCTAAGAGCTGCAAATAGCTGCAAAAATGACTAATGAGTTTCTCCTATTTTTCCCTTTCAAACAGCTAGAGGTTAGCAAAGGGGTAGTGACATAGACAGGTGGTGGGAGAGAGTGGCTGGTAGGCAAAGAGAATATATATGATGGGGGTGGGCCTCCCCCTTGTAGAAACCCTAGGCAGAATTATTTACTGCTTCATCAGTGAAACCCGACATTGTAGCATTTCTCTTTTGTTCTTCCCACCAGACCAGAAGTCTCGATGGCAGAAGAGTCCAAACCCAATCCAGCATGGAACCAGCGCTACTTCTTTCCTGAGGAGAAATTTGCTTTCATGGCCTGGGGCTCTGAGAAGCAGCACCCCAGCCCTGCAGGCTTTGGTGAACCCAAAACAACAGGGTCTGCTCCTCCACTTAAGTTCCTGGGTGTTACTGGTTCCATTTTCTCCCCATTGCACTCTACAGCCATGCAGGAGGCTGGGGCCATTGAGGATATGGTAGAAGTGGAGAGATACTGTTTCTTTTTAGGCCAAGGGCTACTCTATAGCAGGCAGTCTTAGAAGAGCTCATGAGAGATATGGTTGGCCATGATAAGTCACTTGCAGGGGTGTTAACCCCAGCCTTGAAGATAGTGACCACTGCCAAGGTCATAGGTGACCTCTTTGCTGTGGGAGATTTGCAATGGAGGGGCTATTTCAAACAGGAGTGGCATCAGGAAAGGAGAAATGATGAGAGTATCCACAAAAGTCATAGGACACTCTTGTAAGAAAGTCAATTAGACAGAGCCCCAGAGTGGGTGGGAATCCATGAATAGGTAGTACAGAGGCCAACAGACTTGGAGGACCCATAGCTAAGGTCTCAGGTACTTCTCCACCATCTCTCCTCTCCACTGGGGCCATGAACCAATAGGAATCATGATCAGAAGCCCAGAGCTTCTGGGGCCTGCCATTTTTTTTTCTAGATTTCAGTAGGGTGTTAATGACCAAACCAAATTATCTCTAAAGTCCTCCTAATTGCTAAAATGATGGTTATAGAAATAGTCTTCTAAGAATATTCTTAAAGTATGCCTTTACTTGGCTTCCAGAGAGCCCTTGTGTGGCCTATTTACATGTGAACAGTGCATTTTATTCCATTTTTTTACAACTCTTTGCTGAAGCAGGGTCTCATTTTACAGATGGGTAAATTAAGGAAGTCGAAAGATAAGCAGTCTTTTTCAACAGAGATGCTTAAATGGTCTCTCTTTGTTTCCACAGACAAGAGTTTCAGCACTTCTCACCTCCTCCAGGCGCCTCAGGAATCCCTACCTCTTACTCAGCTTATTACAATATTTCTGTGGCCAAAGCAGAGCTGCTGAACAAGTTGAAAGACCAGCCAGAGATGGCAGAAATTGGCCTGGGAGAGGAGGAAGTGGATCATGAACTGGCTCAAAAAAAGGTAAAGTTTCTTAGTATGCCCTAGAGATTGTTAACATTTGTATCTGGAGGGTAACCAGCTTCTCTATGCCCTCTAAAACTCTTTCGTTCCTATATTTTCAGTATGGAACTCAAACAGTCTCTCTGGGTTTCTCATGAATCCAACTCCAGCTTCTTTTTGATTCAAGAAATAGTAGCAGTCGTAATAATCAAATCAGTCTCCCCGATCCTTAAGACCATCATATAAAATAGGAATTGCTATCTTTTTTTTTAACCAGCTAGGGGATTGATTTTCCCAAGGGTTATATTCTAAATGATAGATACAGGACTTCAAGTCAAGACTCTGGATTTGTGCTCTACCAAGCTACCCCTCTGAGTTAAGTCAGCCTTGTAGATAACTCAACACCCAGGGCACATAAGGGCTTCTGCCAGTGAGTTCTAGCCAATGGCAGTGTCATTGATTTTTATTCTCTGTGTAACTTTCTGGGAGAGAGAACAGACTTGACTAAGGAAAATAAGGAGAAATTATAGGCTGGCAGACTTTGGTATTTATTTGCAATGATGGTCAATTATCTCTTAGAAATACAAAATAGATAAATGGAGATGATGTTGTTGTTGTTCCAAAACCTCCTTTTCTTCCTCTAAATACCACTAGCCTAGTTTTTAAATCAAGTTCCTGGAATCACTTTGCCCTCCCTGCACTTACCCATTTTATTTCATAAGCAAATAGGGTTGCCATGGCAACCTCAAAAGCCCAATTTACCGTTTTGTGGACATGTGAACTCAATGTAAATTGCTCTTCTGCCCATATTTCCCTTTCAGGACATGACCTGTAGGAAGGTACAGGGCCATTTGCAAAAGTCCTCCTTCCAATTTCCCATCTGAAGCAAAATGTCAGAGAAAGAATTGGAAGCATGGTGGTATCGAAGTTTGATTGCTCCTTTGATTCCATGTTCCCTGAGCATGACAGGGCTGCTCCATGCTTACTCAGGGCCTGACCTGTCAAGGGGCAAACCTAATAAAAGTCTAGCCAGGAGAAGATAGCAATGATCAGAAATGGCAAAGCACAGAACAACAGACCGTGATTTGAAGTGACTGTGGGTGGGCTAGGACAGTTTTTTGTTTCTGAGGAAGAAAGGTGAGGAAGGTCACCAATTTGCAATATCACAGAGAAAAACAGTCATCTATGGCTGGGTCTGTATAACTCCCATAGCTGTACATACTGCATTTTCCCTAGAGCTGAGGTTCAGGCTGCAGAGTCCTAGAGCTGAGAAACAAAAGGCTCTTCTACTTCATTCTTCCACCCATCAGAGCCTGTCAGCAGGGGTGGGTAGGTGATTTTCTAAGTGTCCCTGGCATTGTGTTTTGTGTGGAGGCACAGACAATGGTATAATACCTGGGAATCTTTTGATATCTACATATGTTGCCTCATTCACATCACCAATCCCCAGTTCCTGGTGGGTTTTAGAATTTCCCCCCAATGCACACTTATAACATTTCTGACGAAATCATGATCTCCTGCCTTTTGAACACTTCTAAAATATAACAACAGGCTCTAGAACCCAGAGGCAACTCTCTTAGTCTTGGTCACCTTGGACCTCTCTAAATAAATGACCAGTGAGGAACACATTCTAGAAAACTGTAAGGCAATGGTCCCAGAATACCTGAGCTGGAATAATACTAAAAAGAAGCACCGAAGCATGCTTCCTACATGCAAGATACTATTCCAAGCAGGTAACATGTTAAATCATTTAATCCTCATAACCACTCTATGAGATGAGTATTATGGTTAGTCTATTTTTTAGATGGGGAAATCGAGGCACAGAAAGATTGAGTAACTCATTCCAGATTCAAACCATTACTTTGTGTCAAAGCTGAGGTTCAAACACAGGTAGTATGGCACTCAAGGTAGTATGGCACTCAAGTGCATACTCCTAACCACTTGTAATACTGACTAAAAAAGCTACAGGTGACCTGAGTTGCCTACATGCCTGTCAGAAGCTTGCAGCTAGGTGAGTCTCCTTTAGTTTAGGGGATCTTATAGTAGTAGTGATGCTACTGCTGCTGATGGTGGTGGTGGTGGTGGCAGTGACAGCAGCATCAATTAGCATGCATTGAGCACTTCATGTTCCAGACACAATAGTAAATATTTTACCTCTGTTATCTCAACAGCTATCACAACAACCAGGTGCAGGGAGTACTTATTCAGTTTATAGATGTGGAAATAGAAGTCTTAGTGGGATTAGGTATCTTGCTCAAGGTCAGAGAGTTGGAGGAGGTAGAATTGGAATCCAAGTGTCTCTAACTCTAAAATTTCATATTGCCTTCCTGTGGTCCCAGAACTGGTTATCCCTTGAATGCACACAAATTGGAAGACACAGGCAGTACTTTCCTTGAGAGAACAACATTTGGTGGTAGGCAGGGGATCACACTCACACACATGACATACCACAGGAACAACTTCAAATTATTCTGAAGGGTTGTAATTCTAGAAAACTTGAGAGTTCTGGATAAAAAATAAGAAAGAGAGGAAGATCATTGAAAGAATCCTTCCAGAGCTTCCAGAGAAGGGTTTTCCATAATGAAGGTGGGAGAAAAGCTGGGCCCTAAAAAAAAAAATCATAATACCCAAAGGGAAGAATGAGCGGGTAGAACTGTAGAAGCAACAAAGGAACACAGGGGTAAATCTGGGGAACATAGAGGACAGTGAGTAGCTAATCCTGAAAGATTTTGAGGAGTGAAATTAGAATGATAGGGGGGGACAAGATGGAATAATTATAATATTAATAACAGCAGCCTAGATTTTATTGAGCACTTACTCTGTGCTAATCCCTTTGCATGTATTATCTCACTGAATCATTACCACCCAGTGAAATAGGTGCTGAAAATACCCTCACAACTTCTACAGATAAAGAGAAGTTCACAAACGTCAACTCATCCAAAGTTCCAATTAGGAAGTGGCAGAACTAGAAGTCAAACCAAGTCATTGTGACTCCAGAATGTACACTCCTATCCAAAGGCCTCGAAAGCCAAGCTAAAGGGCTGGGAGTGTAGCTCAGTGGCAGAGCACTTACCTAGCATGCTCAAGGTCCTGGATTTTGTCCCTAGCACATAATAAATAAATAACCAACCAACCTAAGAAAAATCTTAGGCTGAGGATGTAGCTCAGTGGTAGAGCAATTGCCTAGTATACACAAGACCCTTGTTCCATTCCCAGCACCATCACAAAAGCCAAGCTGTGGGGGCAAGGACCTAGCACAGTGCTATAAACAGAGAGGTACTTCAGTGGAATGAAGGAGAATGATCAAAAATGACGACACATGCTTTTCCAACCTACGATCTCACAGACATCTCACTCCTATTTATCAAACAGTCTCAACAAATATTCAATTGCATTGAGCAAATAAGGCTTAGCCCTTGGGTAGCACTTGTCTAATGCCAAGAAATCTGATGATGACATGGAGATGCCTACCAGACAGGGACAGCAGATGCCTGTCCAGAGCACCAGAATTGCTCACCATATGCTCCGATTTTCTTGGTTTCCAATGACTGGGGTAGAGCCTACCATCCGTTACGTGGATCCCAATACAAGAGTGATGGGCACTGATCCGTTTCTGTTGGTACCCATGCTCATCATTGGTCTTCTCCTGTTTAACTCCCCTAGATACAGCTTATTGAAAGCATTGGTCGAAAACTTTCTGTCCTGCGAGAGGCTCAGCGAGGGCTGCTGGAGGATGTGAATGCCAATTCTGCCCTTGGGGAGGAAGTGGAGGCTAACTTAAAAGCCGTCTGCAAATCCAATGAGTTTGAAAAATACCGCTTGTTTATTGGGGACCTGGACAAAGTGGTCAACCTGTTGCTGTCACTTTCTGGACGATTGGCCCGGGTGGAGAATGCTCTCAACAGCATTGATTCAGAGGCCAATCAAGAGAAGGTAGAATTGGGGTCCTTGGGGATATGGATGGAGAGAAATGCCAGGTGTTTCTCCTTAGGACTCTCTCTTTCATGTTTGGCTATTATGAGAGGCAGAAGAGTAGAATGTTAGCAGTGTGAGCACTGGCTTTCAAGTGTACCTCAATTCTAACTCTACCACTTACTAGCTGTGTAACTGTGGACAGTGTACTTAACGTCACTCTCTCTCAATCTCTTCATTTGTACAATGAGGTGAACACACTACCTGCCATGTCGGGTTGTTGTGAAGATGAAGTTAGATAATCCATGTTAAATACTGAGGCAATCCAGGGTAAATACCGAGTTGGTGCTAGCTGCCAGTAGTAGTGATGGTGGTAATGGCAGGAGCAGCAGCAGCAATTTTGCCTCACTGTCTCTAGAGTTGGAAAGGGAGTTTTCATCAAGCAGTTGAGATGGAGAGACTGTCAGTTTCACAGGTTGGCACACACTGTGTCCATACCTGAATCAAACTGCAGCACCCTTCTCTATATAAATGGCTTTGAAATCACCACAATAAGGGATGCATATACATGTGCACATCCACTCAAATGGAGGCACACGCCATAGAGAAAGCATTACCACAATGATGGTTCATGAGGCTGCTCTGTTAGAGCCTTCCCCGATCGCCAAACCCAGTGACAGTTCACAGATTAAAGATAGCCTTAGAGAAGGAAAGAGGTTCTAGCACATCCCCCTCTCCAGAGTGGCTGTGACGTCTGTGCTCCTCCAGCTACAGGAGAGAAAGGCATTTCTATGGCGGTGGCCTTTACATTGGGAAATCTAGGAGTGATCAATTAGCAGAACGGGTAGTTGCTTGGTGGTGCCTCCCTGGTGAGCACTGCTAGGCAAATGCCTGATAATTAGGAGAGCACTTAATTGGTCCTCTGCTTCCCCAGTTGGTGCTGATAGAGAAGAAGCAGCAGCTGACGGGCCAGTTAGCAGATGCCAAGGAGCTGAAGGAGCACGTGGACCGCCGGGAGAAGTTGGTGTTTGGAATGGTCTCCCGCTACCTGCCTCAGGATCAGCTCCAAGATTACCAGCACTTTGTCAAGATGAAATCTGCTCTTATCATTGAACAGCGAGAGCTGGAAGAGAAGATCAAGCTTGGGGAAGAGCAGCTGAAATGTCTCAGGGAGAGCCTACTCCTGGGGCCCAGCAATTTCTAATTCTCTCAGCAGACTGCCACAGCATCCCTGCCTGGTCACAGTGGGAAGTGCTTTTGATCTTCAGTAGTGGTTTATTAACAAGTAAACAGCAACAAGTTAGTGACTCATCCCAGCCCTCTACCCTGGCTCTGTCTCACGGCTTCTTCCCTAGCAGTGGTCCCAACCAGTGAGGGGACCCTAGGGGGGCACCAAGCTTCTGCAGGGAGCTGCGGCAAGGTGTGATCACACAACCACATTCTCCTTCCCACAGTGTTTGTGGGCAAGCATTCACGGCCCACAGAATCACCAAAGTGCCTTTATTCTCTCTGTATCCGGACACCAAAGACCAAGAACTCCCCACCCATCTGTGCAGCTCCATTGTGCTCCAGGGCTTAGGGCCCAGACATCTCCAACAGAGAACTGCCTGACTTGAGGGCATTCATCTACCACCATTTTCAGAGCCTCACCCAAGTTTTGTAGTGGGAGGCATAGAAGAAGGGATTGTATGTGACAGAAGATGGGCAAAGGTAGGGCATCCTTAGGTGCCCCTCAGGAAAAAGCCAGGCTTAAACCAGTTGGCTCCACTTCTGTCTTTCCTAGAAGCTAGTTGAGGGGAAGAGGCCTACTCTCATCCTTGACTAGTGAGGCCTTCTTCCTGTCCTCAGACCTTAGGCCTATCACCTCATATTTGATCTTGCCCTTGTATCACTGGGAGTTCCAGGTGCCTATTCCAGGACTTCACACTATGGGCTTTTAGTAGCTACTCCAGTTGACTTCTAGATATAGGTTTCATTATTGGGGGAGAGGGTTCTTGTTATATTTTCAATGACCTTTTGATTGTATTTATTTTCATGTTTTGATTGTTTTTTTTTTTTCATTTTTGAACTAATAAGGTGAGGAGAGGGAAGTTAGAGAGGGGAAAGAAAAAGAGAGGGGAAGAAGAGCATTTTCTGCAGATCAGACTGAGTCTAGGTAAGCAAGTACTGAGGCATTGAATTCTTCCCCACATAGCTACAAGTGTCTAAGAATGGAGTTCTTCCTTTGAACTCATAGCCACCCTACCATGGCCCGCCCATGTTCTTCCTTTGAAATCTAGATGGCCATGAACTTAGCATACCCCAGCACAGTTCAACTTTTTTTTTGTGCTAATATTTGCAACCAAAGAAATTTCCCCAAATTAACAATAATTGCCCATTTCTCTAGCATCTCTAAGTCATGGGATGGGTGGAGGCACTCCTCTAACAACTTTTTTCTCAGCCTGTGACCTGGCTCAGGGAACCCAGACTATGATAGCTGGGAACAAATTATGATCCAGCCAGGATCTTAGGCAAAGATGATCCATCCTTATCTTTGCAGGCTGTGTGCCAAGAACCCCAGCGGGTGCCTGAAGCTATGGGTAGTAACCAAAACTTATATGTACTGTTGTTTCCTATACTTCCTACAGCATTGCCATATAGTACCAGAGTTAATCTATCTTCCTTGTTTTATGCCCTGGTGTCTCCTTTGCTTCACTACTCTTGCACTTTGGAACCATTATTAAATTTAAAAAATGGGTTACTTGAACAGAAACACTGCAGTACTGCAACAGTCAATTTGATAACTGAAATGGCTCCTAAGAAATTAAAGGGAGGGTAGCCCATACAGTGTGGATATGTTGGACAAAGGTATGTCCCAGGTAGGATGTAGCAGGATTGCATCATTCTGCTCAGAATGATACACAAATTAAAGCTTATGAATTGCTTATTTCTGGAATTTCCCACTTAATATTTTTAGACCATGGTTGACCACAGAAAGTAAAACTGCAGATAAGGGGGAACTACTATTCAAAGAACTGAAGTTGCTGCTATTGCCAAGGCCCTGAGACTTGTAGCCAGCTTCTACCCTGGAAAAGTTAGCCATTGGGCAATGGCAGAAAGGGAATTATAACCAAACTGTGTCCTATTACCCAGCTCATTGTCCCCATTGCTTGCTAACTAGGGTCAGTCCTTGGCATTACACAGCCTATCTAATCCCATCCCAGCCGAGCCCTGGCACCTTGTTACTGCTGAGTTCCTCAGAGCCCTTGCAACTTAACTGCAGCAGCAGGGGTACCTCACTCAACCAAAGAATTTGCCAAGGAACTTTGCTGCTGCTACAGATACTGGTTACTAATTTCCGTTTCCTCTACATTGTGTCTGAAAACAATAGGAAAATCTTGGCCAGGAGGGTATCCTGGGGGTGGTGGTAACCCTTTATGTGGGGACCTGGGTATGCTCTTAGTACTGCTGCCAATGCCAAGACCACTGTTAGAATGTCAACCTTGTCATTCTCCCCTCTGGTGGAAGATTCTACTCTATTCAGGAGGGTTGATGGCTTTTAAAGGGCTGGGTTTACCCAAGTGAAACTTGAGAAATTTGGGAGAGTGCTTTGAATACAGGCCATTATTGCCACCTTTCAAAATGAAACAGGAGCCCTAGGTAAATAGTAAGCCCAGTTGAAATGTCTTTTATTAGGAGATGATGCCAATATGTTCCATCATTACAAGATTTTTTGGCTGGAATAGATTTTGTTGGGGCGGGGGTACTGGGGATCGAACTCAGGGGCACTCTACCACTGAGCCACATCCCCAGTCCTATTTTGTATTTTATTGAGAGACAGGGTCTCACTGAGTTGCTTAGCACCTTGCTTTTGCTGAGGCTGGCTTTGAACTTGCGATCCTCCTGTCTCAGCCTCCGGAGTCACAGGGATTACAGGTGTGCGCCACCACGCCCATCTGGAATAGATATTTGAAGTATGTACCCAGGGAAAAAAGTGGTCAATTTAACTGGTCACCATGGCATAGCTAGTGTGTTTGTGTGTGTGTGTGTGTGTGTGTGTGAGAGAGAGAGAGAGAGAGAGAGAGAGAGAGAGTGTGTGTGTGTTTTATTTTTTTTAGCCATCATTACATTGGTTTTACCTTAATTTTTGTGATACCAAAAATATTAAGTCTGTTTTTTTGTTGTTGTTTGTTTGTTTTGTTTTTGTGGTGCTGGGAATTAAACCCAGGGCCTCGCACATGCTAGGTAAGCACTCTACCACTGAGCTACAACCCCAACCTTAACACTGTTATTTTTGTACCACATCCCACCTCAAATTAGTTTCTAGAGTTGGAATGAGAACACAAGGATGCTCATTTTCACATAGAACCATAGGTCCCAAAGTACTTAAAAAGTAACCCCCAAACTCTACTGAGCAGTAGAAGTTTAGTAGATAAAGGTGAACTACTAAACAGACACTGGCATATAGCACCTGCCTGCCATGGCAGTCCCCTTGTGAGAGATAGTGCTACAAAGCTGCCAGTATTATCTAAGATGCAATAGTTCTCCCCTATTCTCAGTGTAAGGGGCTCAGCCTTCTTCCAAGGCCTTTGAGGGGGTAGCAGTTTGGAAGACAGGCCAGATGGTATCCCCAAAGACAGTTATTGGTCTTGACTTCTGCCCTTTCCCTTCAAATATTTACATTGCCCCCCATGGGGAAAAAGGAAAGCTGATGGTGGATTGATAGAAAGGAGTCCAGTATAAGAGTTACTATCAGTTATCCCCTCTACTTCCCTCATCCCCAGGGCTCTGGATAGTTGAATCTCCCACAGTGATCCCACTGTTGTCTCACAGCTGGACACTCACCCAGGATCTAGAAGTAAATGCCAAAGTGGAGTCCAAGAGAATGAGACAGAGATACTTAAAATAAAGCACTAGCATGGGAGAGAATAGGAGAGGGAAGGAAGGACAGAGGGTGAAAAGATGAAATGGCTCTTTCAAGGCTGGGTTCAGATTCTGTTTTCCATTTAACTTCATGTGCCAAAAAGCTTCCCCGGGTCATCAGAGCCACATCCTGAACCCCAGCCTCCCTGAGGGTGCTGCTTTGCCAGTAGCAGGCCCCAGACAGAGGAAGCTGGGCACATTTCTGGCTACTTCCACCCACCTGGAGCTTGGCAACTCCTGCTGTCTTGGCCAGAGGAGTTGCCTATGCCAATAATATTTCTGTAACAGCATATTGTACTATTTGAAGATTAGTAGATCTTTAGGGGGTGGGTGGGTCATGGGCCATTTGTATAGATAAAGAATCAGTGTTTGTTGTACAACTGTGGGGGGGATCAATCCCAGGTGAAGCTTATTTTTTTGAATCTTACTGTCTCTATATTTGTGTCCTCCACCACTCCCTTCTTGGCTGATATAGATATGCCTGCCAGATTGTCATCAAGGGTCATACTTTAATAAAAGGTGCTAAGGACAGAAAATAATTGTCTCGTGTGTTTTGACTCAGGTTATGAAAATTCCTTAATATTCTGCTGAGAAGTATCTCAAAGGAATTTGATCACCTATCTATTGTCTGTCATAGATAGCTTTGACAAGCAGAGCCCTCCCACATTCCTAAACCTCTACTTTGAGCTCTTAGGGATGATATTGATACTATACCATTTATTATCCCTAGTAAAATTGCAGGGTCTGACATAGCCTTTTAAAGGGAACAGCTTTTAGACATCTATTCTAAGAACAACTTGACTAGGAGACACAGAGTTTATGTGCCATTGGTCAATTTCTCTTGTTACAACAAGATTGAAGCAAGGCATTTTTCAACTTAGAAGAAATTCAGGACCACAAGCTCTGTCCTTTGGTTCACAGATATATTTCTTGCTCTGTGGGTAGTTATATTGGTCCATTTTTCCATTATTATAACAACTTACATGAACATAGGTAACTTTACAAATTAAAGAGGTTTATTCAGGTCACAGTTCAGAAGGTTCAAAGGCATGATATTTGCATCAGTTTAACTCTGGTGAAGACCTCGTGGTGTTCATGTAACAGAGAGATCACATCACATCAGGATGCCAAAAGTGAATCAGGGGTCAGCCTCCTGTTTTTGTTTTTGTTTTTTTGTACTAGGGATTGAACTCAGGGGTGCTTACCCACTGAGCCACATCCCAAGCCCTTTTTGATATTTTATTTAGAGACAGGGTTTTGCTGAATTTCTTCGGGCCTCACTAAGTTGCTGAGGCTATCTTTGACTTGTGGTCCTCCTGTCTCAGCCTCTCCAGCCACTAGGATTACAAGCATGCACCACTATGCCTGGCTAAGGCTCATGTTTTTATAATGTGCTCTCATGATCAGGTGTCCCATAAAAGCTAATGTAATTCCTTATGAGGGCATGATCCCAAAGACCAAAGGATCTCCAACTAGGCCCCACCTCTGTTGCCACACACTAAGAACCAAGCTCCAAACACATGAACCCTTAGGGGACAAACTGAAACTATATTCAAACTATAGCATTAGTCAATGATACCATTATAATTAATATAACCTAACACTCAGTATTCAATATTGAAGATTCAATAATAAGAGTAATCTCAGGTACAGACCTCAGCAGTATACACATTCCAGTTCTAGAGTCTAGCCTTATCAGAAGTAAACCACCTTCAAGACCTCTTCCAATCTTGAGTTCTGTCTGCTAGTATCATCTTACTTCTAGCTGATTGTCTAGTCTAACAACTTCACCTGAGCTCCCTGGAGAGCAAAGGATCTGATCAGCTCTCCAGAATACCTGAAAGTACATTTAGACCTAAAATGTATTCTAGGCAGCGGTTCTGATGTTAAAAACTTATTTTTTTCCTAACCCACACTCTGTTCATTTCTCAACTGTCCTTCTCATACTCCAGCTATCCAGTGTAATAGAGGAAAGAACCCAGCATTAGCATCAGAAGAAACCATATTCAAATCATTATTCTGCCTATTCTATGAACCTGGGTTACTTGCTCAGCTTCCAATATAATTTTCTTATCAGTAAAAAGGAAACATTAATATCTGCATAGCAAGGTTGTTTAAACTTGAAAATAATAAAAGCTACTATCTACTGAGGAGTTGTTACAAAGGCAGAATCCCTGGCCCTACCCCAAACTCAGTGATAACAGTCTCAATTTTAACTAAATTCCCAGGAGATTCATTTGCATATTGATGGTAGAGAAACACTGACCTATCACAAGCATATTCAGTACATGGTAACTATTACCACAGTCTTCTTTGCTTAATCCAGACACATTCTTGATTTTCTCTTATTGCTCGAAACTACCTACCTAAATAAATTCAGGACAAAGTTGCAGGACACAAGGTTAATATATGTCTTAGTCCATTTTGTGATGTTGTAGCAGAATACCTAAGACTGGATAATTTATAATGAAGAAAATACATGACCTCATGGTTCTGGAGCCTGAGAAGTTCAAGTTTGAGGGGCCAGCATCTGCTGAGTGGCTTCTTGCTATGTGATGCCATGACAGAAGAGCAAAGAGTGAGCTAGAGAAAGCAAGAAATTGAACTTACCACCTCAAGCCCTTTTATAATAACTATTAATTCATTCATGATGGTAGGGCCCTCATGATCTAAACACCTACCACTAGTCCCAACCTTCCATTACTGTTGCATTGAGGATTAAGCTTCCAACTCATACTTTCTGGTGGACACGATCAAACCATAGCAATATATAAAATCAAAACAAAATCCCTGGATGTTCCCACCACAAAAGAAATGATAAATATTTGAAGGGATAGATATACAATTACCTTCATCTGCATTATACATTGTATACATGTTGCTTTTTTTCTACTATAATCAAAATAGAGGAGGAAAAGTTTATTTCAGGGCTTATGGTTTCAGAAGTCTCAGTCCATTAGATGGCTGACTACATTCCCCAGGGCCTAAAGTAAGGCAGGCCCTCATGGTGGAAGAGTGTGGTGGAGGAAAGCAGCTAGGAACATGGCACCAGGAAGCAAAGAGAGAACCTCCCTCACCGTGGACAAAATACATACCCCAAAGGCATGCCACCAATGACCTACCACGTTTAGCCACATGCTACCTGCCTACAGTTACCACCCAGTTAATGCCTATCAGGGTATTAATTATCAGGTTAGGCTAAGGCTTTCAAATCTCAATCATTTCCCCTCTAAACTTTCTTGCATTTTCTCACATATGAGTGTTTAGAAGATACCTCATACCTAAACCATAACGTATGTCATTGATGCATTACATTGTACACATTATATATGTCACACTTTATGTATATGTACCATAAATATGTACAACTCTTATGTGTCAATTAAAAATAAAAGTAAAATGCAAAAGCTTAAAAAGAAAGCAATTCAATTTACCATAGCATCAAAAAATACTTAGAAATGAATTTAAAAGAATGTAAAACTTTTACACTGCTAACCACAAAGTATTGCTAAATTAGTTCTAAATAATGAAAAGACATCCAATGTTCATGGATCAGAAGACTTAATATTGTTAAGATAATAATATACCCCAAAGTGATCTACAGATTCAATCCAATCTTTATTAGAATACCAGCAGACTTCTTTGCATAAATTGACAAGCTCATCCTAAAACACATATGAAATTGCAAGAGACCCAGAATAGCCAAAACAATGTTTGAAAAGAACAAAATTGGAGGGCTTACAATTCTCAATTTCAAAACTTACTGCAAAACTACAGTAATCAAGACAATGTTGTATAGGCACAAGAATAAGACATGGAAATTAATAGAGAGTCCAGAAATAAACCCTCACATTTATGGTCTGTTAATTTTCAACAAGGGTGCTGAAACAATAAAACAGGGAAGGAATACTTTTTGAACAAATGGTGCTGAGACAACTGGGTATATACTTGCAAAAAATGAAGTTGGATCCTTTCCATATACCACACACAAAAATAAACTCAAAATGAATCCATAAACCTAAATGTAGAAGTTAAAATTAAAGAATTTTTAAAAAGAATACAGGAGTAAATCTTCCTGACATTCAGTCAAGCAATGTTTCATAAGTAACAAAAGGCTATAAATAAATTGGAGTGGATGGGATTGTATCTCAGTGATAGAGCACTTGCCTAGCATGTGTGAGGACTGGGTTCGATTCTCAGCATCACATATAAATAAATAAAGGTCCATCAACAACAAAAATATTTGTAAACAAATAAATAATAAATTGGAGTACATACAGATTAAAAATATTCATGTTCAAATGACACTATTAAGAAAATGAGAAGATCACATAGTAAAAATATATCCATATCATATGTCTAATAATGGAGTTGTTTTCAGAAGCTATTGTAAGCTCTTACATTTCAAAAATAAAAAAGAAAATAACCAAATAAAAAAAGGCAATGGGTTGCAATAGACATCGCTGCAAATAATGTATATGTTTTAGTCTGCTTGTGTTGTCATAACATACCATAGATTGGGTGGCTTAAACAACAAACATTTGTTTTTCAAAGTTCTGGAGGCTGGGAAGTCCAAGATCAAGGTGCTACCAGATTCATGTCTGGTAAGGACCTGAATCCTGCTTCCAGATGGCCACCTTCTTGCTATGTCCTCATATAGCAGAGAGAATGGAAGGCTCTAATCGTTTCCTCTTCTTATAAGGGCACTAATCCCATTATAAGGACCTCACCCTTGTAACTCATCTTAACCTAATTACCTCACCTCCCAAAGGCCATATCTCTAAATATCCCATTTGGGGTTAGGGCTTTAACATATGAATTTGAGGAGGCCACAGACATTCTTTTTAAAGTAATAGGCATGGAAAAGTGTTCATAGTGAAATTCAAATGAGATGCCACTTCACATAAACTCAGGTGGCTAAAAACATAGACAATAACAAGTGTCAGTGAGGACAAAGAGAAATTGGAGCACTCACACATCGCTGATAGGGATGTAAATTATTACAGCCACATTGGAAAATAGTTTGGCAGTTTCTCAAAATGTTAAGTTTCCATATGACTCAGCAATTCCACTTCTAGATATATTCCCAAAAGAATTGAAAACCAATGTTCAAAAAATATTCATGAATGTTCAAATCAGCATTATTCATAATAGCCAAAAAGTGGGAACAAACCCAAAGTCCATCAACTGAGGAATGGATGAACACACTTTGATATGTCCATACAGTAGAATATTATTCAGCCATAATATGGATCTTTATCCATACTGATGCATGGTATAATATGGGTAAGCCTTGAAAAATATTATTCTAAGTAAAAGGAGTCAATTACAAAACACTGCATACTATATGATTCAATTTATATGAAATATCCCGAATAGGAAAATCTATAATGAGAAAATAGATTAGGGGTTGTCAAGGGCTAGGGGTATAGGACAATGAGGTGTAACTGCTAATGGGCATGGGGTCTCTTTTGAAGGTGATGAAAACATTCAAAAATTAGTTTGTCATCATAGTTGCCCAATTCTGTGAATGTATTAA